GAGGAGGAGGAAGAGGAGGAGGAGGACGACGACGACGACGACGATGAGGATGAGAGGAGCCACGGAGCAATGATCCCCCCCATTTTGATGACACCTTGTACTCACAACATGCATTATGATTGAACTCCCTTCGCCCCCAGGCTACTCCTACGAGAAGGCTTGCGCTGGTGCGTATGCGGTGCAGTGGGTCCCTGATTCACCATCTACGTCCCACTGGTTGAAGCGCAACAACGAGCTCAACCAGTTGATGGGCCTGCCAGAGTTTTCCACGATGCTGCTCGCCACGTTTGGGGGGTCCCACGCCAGCCTTGCTCTTCGCGCTTGCCACGCAGGTTTGCCGTCCACGTCGACTTGCATTGCGCCGAGTGGGCGGCTCGACGCCCAGGCGCTTGGAGATGCTCACCCTGGATTGGGAAAGGCGTTGAAGTCTGGCCTCGAGTGGACAGTGTTGCACCAGCGCGTGGTCGACAAATGGCCCGAGTTGATTACACTTGGCCAAAAAGCTTTGAATGTGAGGGGGGCTGGGGACGCATCGGAAATCGAGGGGCTGCTCACCATGCAACAATATTACATGCAGGCGTGCAAGGACGGCGCGGAGAGCAAGTTAGCTTGGGATCGTGCCGTCGAGAACGCAGTGTTGGCCCAGCCTTTCTGGGCGAGCTGGGCAAAACCGATTGCCAAGTTAGCCCAGGTGTGTAGCAACGAGTTGCTGCAGGAGGTCAGGGACTTCAAGTCGGTTCTTGTGAAGGCGGCTGGGCTGGATATCGCACTGAAGCCTCCCCCCTCTTCCAATGAAAAACGTTGTGGTTCAACGTTTTGTCTCTATCCATTGCTTGGCCGCGGGGGAAGCGGGGAGGGGGCGGGGGGGCTTCGTGCGGTATCCAGGCTGGCCCCGCCTTCAGGCCCCAGTTAACGCGACCTCCGCGCACGGGCATCTGGGAGGTGCATTCATTGACAAAGTTGCGTCCTTGAGCTGGCCATCGCAAGTAGTTCCGTTCTCAAGGGTGCGCTGCGCAGTATTGCTGGCGCAATTGATGAGCCCCGTGGGGAAGATCCAGGACTCCAAGTGCTGCTTGCTCAAGGAGGGCGACGTCGGGAAGTTGGGGCTGAAGGCCAACCTCGAGCGCGTGGCGCTGGCGGAGCAAATGATGGACAAAGCCAGGGCCATCATTGCAGGGATCGAGAGCGTTGACGCTGCTACGAGAACGCATTTGCTCGGTGAGCACGACATTCGCATCATCTACCACCTGACCAACAAGGGCAAGATGAGCAAGCTTGCGACCGAGCACTCGTGCTTAGAGGACGTCGGCGAAGTGTTCATTAACGCCTTATCCGAGGCCGCGGGGGTTCCCGTGGAGAACCCGTGGGCGAAGGCGAAGGACGAGGACGGGGACTCAGGTGAGGATGGCGCTGGTGACCAGGCCTTCACATTTGAAAGAAAATCCAGAGTTCATTTTTTCAAGATGCTCGAGGCGACGACGACGACGACGACGACGACGACGACGACGGAAGCCTCCCCATCCCTCGCCCTCCTCATCCTCGCCATCCCCCCCCCCTCCTCCCCACACGAGGAGGGGGGGGAATGAAGTGGCCCAGATGGCGGCCACCAAAACCACAATGTTTTTATGTTTTCCCGCGCTCCCAGGTTGATCAGCAGGTGGAGAGTGACGACGGCGACGCCGCGCAGCAGGTGCAGGTGGCGATGCAGTCGGTCGAGCAGCAGAAAAGTGCTTCGTATCAGATGTCCCTGCTAGGGTTTAAGAGCTCGGCAGTCGTGAAGATGAAGAAGCAGGACCCCGCTCACAAGGAGGCGTGCGTGCTGTGGGTTGTCGACAGCATATCAGATACGGCAGCTCAGTTGAAACCTACTGGTGCCCATCAGAGGGGGGGCTCGATTACGGTACCGCTCGAGACCCTCAAAGACAAATGGATGATAACCAATGCCAAGATTCAGGAGTTCGTATTGTTGGAGCCGCCTGGGAATACCAAGGGCTGGGTGGTTGAGAGCATCAAGGCGCAGCTGATTCTCTCACTGGATATCCTGCTAAAGAAATAAAAATGCCAAATCTCGCAAGTGAATGTCTACAAGAATCCAATTGCAGTTCGCGCACTATTTAATTGTAAGCCGAATGAGCTTTGCTTAATTCCAGTCACGAGAACCATCAGGCATCGCCCTTCGAGCGAAGCGTGCGATAGGGGAGTCGATTTGGGATGCTTGGTGGAAGATCTTGGATTGAGCTTCTCTCCCAGAGCTGGCTGACCCTGGGAAAGGACGAGACGACGACTTCTGGCGCGCCCTTCTGGGCAGTCCAGGAAGCTATTCCCCCGCAGAAGGGCAATTGCAAGATCGCGATCACCGAAGTCACGCTCAAGATCGGGGCCGCCTACTTCCCTGCCGATGAGATCTCGGTCAAGATCCCAGTCATCAGGAACCACGTGGCCATCAAGGGGGGCCAGGATGTGCTTCTGTGCCCCATGCCTGCGCAGAAGAGGCCCAAGACGAAGTAGGACCCTCAGCATTCGCAAATGGGGTTGCGAGTGCAGCATTGCGTTGGCATGTGCAACTTTTCTTGACCCCGCGAGCTGTTGACGCCGTTGCTTTTTGCATCGCCGCAAGCACTGCGCGCAGTGCACACGCGCGCGGCAGGTTTAGATTAGCTCGCGGGTGAGTGTATAAACATTTCTTACTCACGTACGCTGCGCGCTACATGCACTAGGGTGCTATGCGCGCGGCAGCTCGCGCACTGCAGCATTTAGGGTATCACGAATCAGGGGGAGGGTCAGAGGCAAGCAATTGGATTCAACATGCACCTTGATCAGTTTAGGTAGGCAGCTGAATGGAAGCGCGATGTTGCAGCTTCTGGTGCTACTGCACTGCTCCCCAATTGTGGCACGAGTGCGGCCGCCGTCACCGCCATCATCACTACCACCCCTCATCACCATCAACGCCATCACTAGCAACATTAACATCATGACCTTCCCCGTCATCACCATCATCATAGGCATCGCCACCGTCATTGCCATCATCAGCACACCACGGGAACCCCCCAGCCTAAGAGGGACCACTGGAATCCCCAGCCTAAGCCCAATAATCGTCAGTCTAAGAGGGACCACTGGAATCCCCAGTCTAAGAGGGACCGCTGGAATCCCCAGCCTAAGAGGGACCACTGGAATCCCCCCTCCCCTGCTCGCGCGCCCAGGGCGCGTGGGCCCATAGTCACGGTGCAGTTGTTCAGTGCAGCGACTGCCCGTCAAACCCTAACTTGTCGTACTCAGCCGCAGCTCGTTTGAAGCGTTGGCACGATTTCTGCCTCGTGATCTGTTCACCTTTCATGTCGGGGGTAATGGATGTGGTCATCACAGACTCTGTCAATGCAACCCACCCGCTCGTGGAAGACAGGACTCTCAGCGGCGCTCCCAGGATCACTGTTGGCGGGAAGCAGTACTTGGAGGTTGCCAAGGGCTGCAAGGACCTCGCACAATGGCTTGTGGGTTGCAGGCAGTACTGCACGAGAGTGTCGACGGTCGTCGACATCTTGATGGGCTTGCAGTCTGATGCTAGCAGAGCGACCCTAGGCTTCGACGGCACCCCCAAAGGAGTCGGCGTGAGCCAATACAGGAGGAAGATGGAGATCAATGCCCTTAAACATGTCAGCGAAGGTCAAGCTTCGGACACAGTCGACGTTACCTTGCCAGCCTTCACTTGCGACGAGCCGCAAATGACTGTGGACGCAGTCAGCACAAGCATGCCGTTCAACATCAAGCCTACCGCGGCCATGGTGGAGATCAGACCAGACGTGCTGCGCTGGTTGGCGCTCAAGGTCCACGTGACTGAGAAACCAGAGAGGATCGTGAAGAGGAAGGCTGCAGAGCCACATCAGATCCTGACGGAGGCTGGGCCCGCTGTCTACGATTCCTCCAAGGGGTGCTATGTGGTGCAGACCCCAGACATAGAGGGGAACACCATGACTTCTGCGCAGTCGAAAGGTGTAGGTAGCAGCGTGTCAATCATGCGCAGCCGCTCAGCGAATCTGGATGCTGACTCGCCATCCTCCTATGCTGCTTCTGCCTCTGCCATTTCGCCTGCCCTGGCTACGCGTGCAGCCCCCAGCAAGCGGATCCGCAGCACGCGTTAGAATTGAATATGGGATGCCAGCAGAGTGTTTGCGCTTTGCGGAGTCGCTGAATACAGCGATACTTTAGGATTCACATCGGGGACAGTGGTCGCAACACTCAGTGAGTGTTACTTGGGTGAAAAATGTGATGACGCTATGGTTGGGATTTCTGGGCGTATCAGCTTTTCCTCACTTCCCTCACCTCTTCCTCACCTCCCTCACCTCCAACGTATCCCTCACCTTCCTCACCTCCATCACATCCCTCTCACCTCCTCTGAGTAGCTCTTCCTCACCTTGTGCACACCTTGCTGAGTTAACCTTTTTTGGATTTGATCACTCCTCCCTCCCCCACTCCAGCGTGCACAGCTTAAGCACACAGTGTGTTGTCGCGTGGGATGCGCAATGCATTCGAGCTTGATATGGTGCGAAATGTAGCTCGACACGCCGTGGGAAACCAGGAAACGTTAAACGAACACGTCAAAAAACGAGTATGAATCTGTGCGTCACAGGCGCGCTGCTCACAGAGCGTTTCGACCAACTTCTTCCAATCCGAAATCCCTGGTCGAAGGTTGTCGACCAACTTCTTCCGATCTGAAGGCCGTGGCCTGTTTTGCCCGGCCACGGCCTTCAGATTGGAAGAAGTTGGTCGAAACCTGTTTCTGGAGACTCCGCGTGGTCTGAACAACTGTGGCGCGTTTCGCAGTGGATTACGACACTCGTGAGGGTCTGGCCCTCACCCCTCCACCTCCTCCGTAAACGTTTAGCTCAAGCGAGTTGGGGGTTGCACATCAATCATCAGAACGTCTTCGGCATTTACGTTTACTCATCGGCTTCCGTTTCACGTTGCAATGGCGTCTGTCCAACAGGCCGTGAGAGAGATCGAAGGCAGCACAAACCTGATCAGCATACAAAGCAGTTTGGGGATGACTGAGCCTGAGATCCAGGCATTGCGGACCTCGATCGCCAACAGCATGGCCAGCCTGGTATCCAGCATCGCCCAGCCTCTGAACTCAGTGACGGCAAACGAGTTGTTCGGAGCAGTGTCCCGCACCACATTCAGCGCGGACCAGAAGCGCATGCTATCCCATGTGATCCAGCAGAAGTTGCTGGCCAGCAATGTCACCCAGAGGCTGGCTCCAACTGATAAGCAGCACTTTCGCAAGACTGGGTGCATCCTGTCCTACTTCACTTCGGCGGACTGGGAGATCTTATCCAACCAGGACCTCCCATATGACAGTGACGTTAAGGCCATGGTCGTGACCAAGCGCCTCGTCGCTGGTGGCATGACGCAGCCGAGTTCCAAGGCCTGCGCCGAGGTCGTGGCTTTACTGGCGGCGTCTTGTTGGTCGGATCAGTGCAGCGCAGTTGGCATGTACAACCATGTCTTCGGGATCGGGAGGCACTTCGAGAACGCTGAGTTCGCTGGTCACAATCTGACGGTACTCAAGGAGTGGCCTGCCACGCCGCTGGAACTTCCAGCCGACGTTTACCACGCCATGTACCCAGACGCATCGGACGGCCCAATCATCAAGAGCCTCGACAACTTTACTTCGGTGAGGAAGAAGGTCAGCTGCAGATGCTCGAACAAGACGGTGAGGTCGGACCCTGCGATGGCAAAGGCGCCGCCATCGCAGCGCCCACGTCTTGCCCTGGAGGCGCCACCTTGCGCCCAAGCCCCACGCAGGCTGGCGGTGCTCAGCCCATGCAGTTCGACCTGGCGTCCTTCATGGTCGCTGCTCAGCAGGCTGGCCTCACCCCTCAGCAGACGATGGAGATGGGCATGGCTGGCGCGCGGGCGTTGGGCGTCAACATGCTCGGTGCCCCCCCGCATCGCGACGGCAGTATTTCAGTTTCTAGGCCGCCTGTGATTACCTACGGCGGCAACGCGATGCGTGGCTCTGGGGCACCTCCTGGCCCTCCACATGGAGCGGCGTCGGCGGCGCCGCCTGAGGCAGCACCGCTGGCCGACGGCGAGAAGGGCGTGCCGAGCGGCGGCGAAGCTGCTACTGGGCAAGCAACGCCCTTCGAGGCCGCTCTCAACGAGTTCAGTGGTGGCGGCCCGCTTGCCTCCAGCAAGATGCAGACTGCGTCCGCCGAGGACGTGAAGGCAGTGGACGCCGAACAGACGAAGCTTCTGGCAACGGCAAAGGCCAAGGCCGATGCACAGAAGAATGGTACCGACGGCGCTGCCAAGGACACGGGCGGCAAGGGCGGCAAGGGCGCGGCCATGATGAGGCGGCCCGCAGCCGCAGGTGGGAAGGCGAAAGCCGCCATCGCCGATGCCCCGCCCAAGATGCCGAAGGACGGCGAGTCGGTCAGGGTCCGTGGCGGGAAGATCCTGGGATCTGCGAGCCGTGGAGGGTGGAGAGTGTGGCCGAGGGCCGACGACGTCCGCAAGGAGAAGATCGTGAGGTTTCGGCCTAACAAGAAAAGGTCCTTCGATGAGGCGTGCAAGCTGATCTGAGTGTGCGGCCTGTTTTCATACAGCTCGGATGTGCGATACTAGGCAAGCGTTACGATGGGTTTAGCATCTGGTCTTAGGTCCATTCGGCCTGCAGGGGGAGTGAAGCAGTCGTGAGCACAACCAGTATGATAGGGTGTCCTTGCCTATGCTCCGTTATGCGCTATCTCTGGCAAGGATGGGTAAGAGCAGTTTCGGGAGCGATTGCCAGGGTCGCGGCCAATAGTGGCACGAGTGCGGCCGCCGTCATCGCCATCATAACTACCACCCCTCATCGCCATCAACGCCATCACTGGCAACATTAACATCATGACCTTCCCCGTCACCACCATCATCATAAACATCGCCACCTTCAGTGCCAACATCAGCACACCACGGGAACCCCCCAGCCTAAGAGGGACCACTGGAATCCCCAGCCTAAGCCCAACAATCGTCAGCCTAAGAGGGACCACTGGAATCCCCAGCCTAAGAGGGACCACTGGAATCCCCAGCCTAAGCCCAACCATCGTCAGCCTAAGAGGGACCACTGGAATCCCCAGCCTAAGAGGGACCACTGGAATCCCCAGCCTAAGAGGGACCACTGGAATCCCCCGTCCCTCTCCATTCGTCTATAATTAGATTCCTGCTCCTCCAGCGCCTCGACAAAGGTGTTGTCGTCGTCGTCGTCGTCGTCGTCTTCGTCGTCGTCGTCGTCGTCGTCGCCGTCGTCGTCGTCGTCGTCGTCGTCGTCGTCATCCTCGTCGTCGTCGTCGTCGTCGCCATCGTCGTCGTCGTCGTCGTCGTAAACGTCGTCGTCGTCGTCGTCGTCGTCGTCGTCGTCGTCGTCGTCATCGTCGTCATCGTCGTCGTCGTCGTCGTCCTCGTCGTCGCCATCGTCGTCGTCGTCGTCGTCGTCGTCGCCGTAGCCGTCGTCGTCGTCGTCGTCGTCGTAAAGTTGGACACCCGTCCCCATAGCCATTTCCATAGCCATGGAGAAGGCTGAAAAACATCGCAGGCTGAACGAGGTAAGGTACTCATTGCCACACGTTTCGCAGGTTGCTTTAGCAAAGTATTGTGCAAAATCAGCTGCGGGAGAACTGCCAGCAATTCATACGACGAGATGCGTCAGGGAAGCCAGGGACTCTGAGGCGTTGCAAGATACGCCATATGGCAAGTTGGTCTTGGACATTCAATTGGAAACGACGAATGGTGAGAAGATTAACATAGAGGTTGCGAATCCGCTTGCGTATCTCTGGGCTGCTGCACGGTGTGAGCGGTATGCCGCCCTCCTACGGCACGCATACGACAGACACGTTCCATCTGTTTCAAATCCATGGGAAATTGTCCTCTACGTAGATGAAGCGAAACCTGGCAACAGGCTGAAAACCGATAACCGCCGCAGCGTGCAAGCTGTATACATGAACATACTATTCCTTGGCTCAGCAGTTCTTGCGAAAGAGGACACGTGGCTGGCAATCGGGACCGTGCGGTCTTGCGACATCAATGAATGTGAAGGCGGGATGGCACAATTATTCAGGCATTTTCTGAACATGATGTTCAGCAAGACGTCCCACGACTTGAGATATTCAGGCATCCAGCTCGACCTTCACGGAGGTGGTCAAATGAGGTTGTTCGCAAAAGTTGGGTGTTTGGTAGGCGATGAGAGCGCTCTCCATCAAGTTTGGATGAATAAGGGCAGCGGCGGCACGAAATGCTGTATACATTGCGTGAACATAACAGATAAGGACTGGAAGGCCGCCCCGCATATCGAAGGGCATCACATTTTGAAGCCTTACGATAAAGTGCATTGTCATTCGGATTGTTTGCTGCATACTCGAGAAACTGTGTTGGGTATCATCGACAAGTTGTCGGCTGCGAAGCCCACGTTGGGGAAAGGGGAGTTCAGGGAATTGGAGCAGAATACTGGGTGGAAGTATTCCAAACATAGTTTGTTGGTGGACCCCTGACTGAGACAGCTAGTGGATCCGACGCGACATAACGTGTTTGATTGGGTTCATGTCCTCCTACAGGGGCTGTGGCAATATGTTGTGTATTTCTTTATCGAAGAGGTTTCAAAATCCAAGATCAAGCCGCATCACGTGCATGCATGGTTGAAGGAATGGAGTTGGCCACGCAGAGTCTCTAATAAGACGTGCACGGGCGTGGATGCATTTGACAAGAAGAGAGCAGACAGTAGGTGGAAAGTTGGCTACTGGAAGGCATCTGCCTCCGAATGCTTGAGCCTGCACCCCGTGTTGGCGCACTACGCACGGGTTGTCATACTTCCTTTCGGGCTTCATGTCGCTGCCTGCAAGGCGATGATCGCATTGTCCAGTCTGATCCACATCATGTGGTCAGGAGCTAAGCTCACGATACCGCCTGCAGTCGTCCGCCAAGCAGCTGAGAACTTCATATCGGCATACCGTTTGGCATTCGGGGTAGACACATACATCTGGAAAATGCATGCGGTACTTCATTTTTCAGGCTATTTCGAAAAATACGAATGGGCTCCCCACACCCTCCCAATGGAGAGAAAGCACAAAACACTTCTTCGTTATGGACCAGACCAGGCTAAGGACACTCGAGCTATCATCAGGGAGGTTACTGCAAAAACTTTGAATGACCTGAGAAGTGCAGAGTGGCTTAACCTCAGCGTGGGTTTGGTGCAAGCCACGCGTCCGACTAAACGGCTTCATGCGTTTTTGAATGAACATGTGGGGGTCGCAGTTCACTTGGCAGCCAGCAAAGCAAGGTTCAGTAGGCACGACGTTGCATGGATCGGAGATTTCGTAGCGATTTCTGCGGCCCCGTGGCAAGTCGTCAAGGTGCTGTGGTTCGCGTCTAGCAATGACGTCCCATACGCTTGCGTCCAGGGGCTTTCTTTAGTGTCCAAGATGCAGTGGAGCTCTGTCTGGAAAGCGTCGGGTGGGCCTTTCTTGGTAGAGCTTTCAGATTTCCTGGATGTCCTGATCCACTCGGTCAGGGGGGATGAAGTCACAGTCTTGCACCCGCTTGCTTTGGCAAATATGTGACGTGCACGCCCTTTGGAGATTGTGCAGTGGGGCTGCGCAATTGCGAAACATGCTGCTGCTCCCTCCTCCTCCTCGCTAGCCTTTTCACTTATTATTCCCCGTTTGCTTGCTTGCGTTGGCTGCTCGGGTGCCTCCTGCTCCTTCCCTCCTCCGTGCTTGCGCTACCCGAAGTACCTTGCTCAATATAGATATACAGGCCGACGCCAGCCGCCCCCCCCTTCAGCGGACCCCAGCCCGACCCCGCGAGGCGAGCTGCTCCCAGCACGTCTTTTCAGCGTTTGGCATGGTTTAGCTAAGCTGCAGCAAAAGAGCTAAATGTTTAGCTAAACAGGTTAGCAACCGTTTACCAAACGGCTCCAAACGCTAATCCAGCAAAGCGCAGTAAGGGTTAGCTAATGAGTTAGGGAACTCGCGGCAACTCTCCGCTATCCCAACCCAACCTTTGGAACCCCTTGCAAATCTTACTAACCCCGCGACCCTTCCAAGTGCCTGGGTGCTCGGGTGCCCGGCGGTGCCCGGGTGCCCGGGTGGCCGGTGAAATGCGTGGCCTATTTCTGTGGCCGGGCCCGGGTGCCCGGGTGCCCAGGTGCCCAAGTGCCCGGGTGCCCGGGGGTGCCCAATAGCCCAATAGCCCAATAGCCCAGTAGCCCTATAGCCCTATAGCCCTGCAGCCGTATAGCACTATGGCACTATAGCCCTAGGGCCCTAGAGCCCTATAGCTCTAGAGCCCTATAGCCCTATAGCCCTATAGCTCTATAGCCCTATAGCCATATTAGCCCTAAGGTTCTAGAGCCCCTATAGCCCAATAGCCCAATAGCTCTATATTACTATACCCCTATAGCCATATAGCCCATATAGCCCCATTGCCCCAATAAAAATATGATTGGGACTTTTCTCCGGTATAATGAAATCAACTTGGGGAGGGGTCTTGTCTAGCAAAGGGTGCCGCGCAGCTATGGGGCACATCTAGCACCAAAGAGTTGTTTAAAATCAATTTGGGGAAGGGCCTTGCCTAGCAGAGGGCGCCGCGCAGCACATGGGGCACGTCTAACATCAAGGGTTTGTTTTATCAACTTGGGGAGGAGTCATGCCTAGCAGGGTGCCGGACAGCATATGGGGAACGTCAAGCACCAAGGATTCTCTTCTAATCAACTTGGGAAAGGGGTCCTCTGGTAAGGGTCTTGCCCAGAAGAGGGTGTTGCACATCAGATGGGACATGTCTCTATAGCGGTTCTTTTGTAATTGATTTGGGGAAGGGTTGTGCCTAGCAGAAGGTGTCGCACAGAAGATGGGGCACACGTTGTGTTAGGCACGGAAAGCGTGGAGAAAAATGGCGCTGTCAAATTACAATTGGGAGGGGACCAGGTTGAAATACTGGGCATGGTGGAGAGAAAGACCATTTTCACAAAGAGTAGCGTCTTCACCCGGAATAGCGTCTTCACCGGGAATGTAGCGTCGTCACCGGGAATAGCGTCTTCACAGCGAATAGCGTCTTCACCCAAAAAAGCGTCTTCACACGGAATAGCGCCTTCACCCGTAATAGCGTCTTCACCGGGAATAGCGTCTTCACCTGGAATAGCGTCTTCACCCGGAATAGCGTCTTCACCGGGAAAAGCGTCTTCACCGGGAATAGCGTCTTCACCGGGAATAGCGTCTTCATAGCGAATAGCGTCTTTACCGGGAATAGCGTCTTCACCCGGAATATAGAGTCTTCACTGGGATAGCGTCTTCACCGGGAAAAGCATCTTCACCCGGAATAGCATCTTCACCGGGAATAGCGTCTTCACCAGGAATAGAGTCTTCACCCGGAATAGCGTATTCACCGGGAATAGCATATTCAAAACGAATAGCGCCTTCGCTAGGACTAGCGTCTTCACAACGAATAGCGCCTTCACAACGAATAGCGTCTTCACACGGAATAACGTTCTCACTGGGATTAGCGTCTTCACCCGGAATAGCGTCTTCACAGGGCATAGCGTCTTCACAGGGCATAGCGTCTTCACCCGGAATAGCGTCTTCACCCGGAATAGCGTCTTCACCCAGCATAGCGTCTTCACTGGGAATAGAGTCTTCACCGGGAATAGCGTCTTCACCCGGAATAGCGTCCTCACAGCGAATAGCGTCTTCACCAGGAATAGCGCTTTCAGAGGGAATAGCGTCTTCATGGGGGAAGTGCTGTCTGTGTCCGCAGAACGCTTCTTCACTGGGAATAGCGTCTTCACCTGGAATAGCGTCTTCACCCGGAATAGCGATTTCACCGTCTTCACCGGGAATAGCGTCTTCACTAGGAATAGCGTCTTCACCCGGAATAGCGTCTTCACCGTCTTCACTGGAAATAGCGTCTTCACTGGGAATAGCGTCTTCGCAGGGACACGTCGTCACAGGGAATAGCGTCTTCAAATAGCGTCTTCAGCGCCGGAGCGAACTGGGAACCCTGGTTGTCGGGGCAATGTATACAGACACATATGTATAGATACTTATATATGTACAAACATGCATACTTCTGTACGTACATACATACATACATACATACATACATACATGCATGCATGCATGCATGCCTGCATACATACATACAAACATACATACATACATACATACATACATACATACATACATACATACATGCATGCATACATACATACATACATACACGCATGCATATATGCATACATGCATACATGCAGACATGCATACATACATGCATATGCATATGCATATGCATATGCATATGCATATGAATATGCATATGCATATGTGTATACGTAGATGTGTGGATACACCTAGACGTACATAGATGCACAAACACATGTGCACATGTTCCACCGCATTGCACGTGCCATAGTATCAGACATCCAGAGTGCAGTATCCGCCACCCTGTCCTTGAGGCACGAGTTGGAGTGTCCTCAAAACCGTGGCCGACTTAAGCCTCAACCCTTAATCCCGACACATATTTACTCTTAGGGGTCCGGACCCAAAACTGCCAAATCCTGTGGGGTTTGCCCCCAAGAGACCCCCAAGACGCCCCAAGAGGCCCCCCAGGAGCATCCAAGACGACCCAAGAGGCCTCGGCGAAAAGCTCGAGCCCCCCTTCTTTGATCGATCTCCTACAAGGTGGCCCAAAGATGGCCCCAGAGGCCCCCAAGGGTGCCCCAAAACGGTCCCAAGAGGTGCCGAGGAGGCCCCACGGGGCCCCCAAGAGGCGCCCAAGATGCCCCCAAGAGGCTCCCAAGAGACCCCCAAGACGCCCCAAGAGGCCCCCCGCAGGCACCCAAGACGACCCAAGAGGTCTCGGCGAGAAGCTCGAGCCTCCCTTCTTTAATCGATCTCCTAAAAGATGGCCCCAAGATGGCCAGAGGCTCCCAAGGGTGCCCCAAGACGGCCTCAAGAGATGCCCAGGAGGCTCCAAGAGGCCCACCCACGATGCCCTCAAGAGGCCCCCAGGAGGCTCCAAGGCAACAGAACCCCAAGAGGCCCTAAGAGGCGCCCCAGAGGGACCCAAGACGCCCTAGTAGGCCCCCGGGTCTGCCAAGAGACCCCCAAGACACCCCAAGAGGACTCCAAGAAACTCTTGGACAAAAATCCGAAGAGACTCCAAGAGGCGTCCAAGAAGCCTCTGGCCTTTCTGCTCCTCCTCCTCCTCCTCCTCCTCTTCCTCCTTCCTATCGCCCGCCTGTTCATCCTCCCTCCTCCTCCCTCCTCCCCTCCACCTCCTCCTCCCCCTCCTCCTACTCCTCCTCCTCCTCCTTCTTCTCCGATTCCTCCTCCATCCTGCCCCTCTTGGGGTACGGCGTCTTACCCAGCCCTTCATTCCACTGGATTATCCTCCACATCCCTGATCAGGGCAACTCGTCTGGACATCGTTTCTGGATGGGCTGGTTGGGTTGCGTTCAGCGTCTAGGGTAAGACTCAACAGGTGCATCGAGATGAGATGACACACCAACGAGAGGCGCAACATTGCAAGAAACTTTACACTTCGAACCAATCACGCGAAGCATCCGAGAGTTCTCGGCCCCCCTACCCAGTCACGGTAGCGGAATTGGCCGAATGCTATTAAATATCACGTGTTGGGACCGACGCTGGCAAACATGGATTCAATAATTGCGGCCCCCCTGGAACTTCCCTGGGATCCGTCCTAACCAGCATGGAACCATGCTGGACGATGCTGTGCCCAGCCATCACGTACACGCCGAGCGTGCGTATCGCCATACATGATTCCATACATATGTATGCATGTATGCATGCATACATACATGCGTGCATACACACGTACAGACATACAAAATGCATGTGTATATATATATATATATATGTGTATACATATATATGTATATACATATGTATACACACACGCGCGGGTATGCATGCATACGTACAGGCATACATTCATGCCTACACAACCACATACGTATATGCATGATTATACACATGCACACCTATATGCATGCATGCATAAAACGTACATACACGTACGCATATACACACATACATGCATGCATACACGTATGTGCATGCATACATGCATGCATGCACATATATGCATACCCGCATGCATGCGTGCATGCATACATGCAGGCGTACATGCTCACACAAAGACCTACACACTGATGTGCATGCATACACGCATGCATGTAGACGTGCATACATACATGTATACGTGTACGCCAACATATATACATACAAACATGTACACATACATGCATGCATGCATACATGCATGCATGCATGCATGCATACATACATGTTTACATGTAGACACACATGCGTACATGCATGCATGCATACATACATGCATGCATACATGCGTACATGCGTACATGTATACATGCATGCATATATGCATGCATAAACGCATATATGTATAAATGCATGCATGTATGCATGCATACATGCATACATGCATACATGCATACATGCATGCACATACATTCCCATACATACATACAAACATACATACATATTTACATACATACAGACAGACAGACATACATACATACGTACATGCATACATGCATTTATACATACCTATCTACCTACCGACCTACCTACATACATACGTACATACATACACATATGTATATATATATGTGCATCGAACGCGAGGGAACACACGAATATGCGAAGTGACGGCAGGCGAGCGCGAATAGAACGCGCGCCTTGCAACTCGGAATACGGTACAAAGATCGCTAGAAAGGACGTCCGTGGCGCGAAGGGACCCGAAGAGTCGTGGACGGGCGGGCCGGAAAAGACTAGCGAACATTCACACTGAAGGGCGCAAAAAACATAGACGACAAAAAGGCAAACCTCGATGGGCCCTGACAGAGGCCAGGAGGTGCCAGTGGCTGTGATAGAGGCGGGCACGCCTGCCCTCGTGCTCCAGACAGAATGAGGCTCCGCAGTGTCCACAGGCAGGGAGAGCCAAGAAGGGAGCCATGCGGCGAGCCGCGACAAGTTCGAACGCATCTTCTCGTCCTCCTCCACATCCTCCTCCAACTGGCTCCTCCTCCTCCTGACTCCTCTTCCTCCTCCTCCTCCTCCTCCTCCTCCCCTCATCCTCCTCCTCCTCCGCCTCCTCATCCGCCTCCTCCTCCCGCCTTCCCGAACTGCATATGCCCGTCCAACGCTCCTCTCGACCACGCCAAACTCCAACTTCTCGGCAGTGGGGTTGGCAGTGTCCATTGTCTTCGTGAGCACCTGGCAGCTGTAAGGCACTGGTTACCGACTACCAGCTCGCGTGGCGGAGCATTCCCTGGAGACCCTGTCTTTCTGGCCACTGCCAGACGCCGAGCAAGCGACGATTCGTCCGAAAGAGATCCCCAGATGAAGCTTAGATTCGGCATCCTCGACCTGCTCTTGCTTGACAAGGAGCGCGATCCCCGCGGTCGACCAGGCTGGGGGTCCGATCGTTGCCAGCCCCAGAGGCACGCTGGTCCAGCCCATGGCTTGCCGGCGGGGGGCCGGCTCGAGCAGGGGAGAGGGCGGGACGGCAGCAGGGGCTGCTGGGTGCGCGGGAGGTGCACCCCGAGATCTGGGCGTCATGCTTGTCACAGGGCACTCTCGTGTGGCGTCGAAAGACGGGGCCCGCCCGCACGGATCGATCCGGCTCACGGAGCGCCGCCGAACCATGGGGTCGAGGGCTCTGTCACAGCTTGCACTGTTTTCGCGACGTCGGATCTCAAAGTTGAGTAACGGTGGCAGGAGCAACAAGCGGAAGGGAAAGATCCCCCATTTTAACCCCTCGTCAATGCAAATACAGCCGGCCCGTATCAGAAAGATTCGCTGTAAGGATGCAACAGCCTTGGACGCCCAGTTCGAAACTTCTCGAGCGAGGCACGGCCAACGAAAGTGGCCAAGGATGGACCGAGGAGGCAAGGATGCAAGGGTACCCGTGGAAGGTTGCCCGTCCTTGCTGTGAGGGTTGGCTGTAGGTTGAGCAGGAGGAGCAGTGACGGTGGAGCGAGCGACCGAGCCACCAGTGCGGAACACCTCCGGGTCCTATCTCAGGTTAGGCGGGCAAGGCCGTGGCCCCAAACATGTACACATACATACATACATACATATATATATATATATACATATATATATACGTAAAAAAACGATAAAACGTGTGTGTACGAACTGTCGCGTGTGAAAAGCATTCACATGCGCTGCGTGACAGTTAAACATACATGATACATGGAAGAGCAAGGAGGGGGAGGAGGAGGAGGAGGACGAGGAAAGATGCCACAGGCAGACGCTTCAGGTCAGAGCAATGTAAACAAAAATGAAGGGAGGACGAGGAGGAGGAGGAGGAGGAGTAACAGGAGGAAGAGGAGAAAGAGGAGAAGGAGGAGGAGGGAAAGGGAGCAGGAGGAGGAGGAGGAGGAAGAGGAGGAGGAGGAGGAGGAGGAGGATGAGGAGGAGGAGGGGGGGATGAGGAGGAGGAGGAGGAGGGAGAGGAGGAATCATCCCCTTACTTGGAGTCCTTGTTTGCCGGCAGTGCCGTGCAGGAGGCCAGGTTATCCGGTGGGGTGGGGGCGGGAGTTTCCGGCCAATCATTAAATCTTTTCGCTTGGGGCAGCCCCACGCATGCCCGCGCGCACCATTACTGCGTACCCCCTTCGGACCTGCGCAACCGACAAGGTAGGGTTAAGGGAGGGGGCGGCGGCGGCGGCGGCACCGATAACCCAGGCGATCGCCAGACCACACAAAAAGCAGTCTCCAGATGTGCGCGCGTGTGAGCGTTAGTGAACACGGTTTGCGCCAGCTGCTCGTGCAGTCGGGGGGGGGGGGAGGAGTAGGAGAAGGAGGCGGAGGAGGAGGGGGAGGAGGAGGGGGAGGAGAGGAGGAGGAGGAGGAGGAGGAGGAGGAGGAGGAGGAGGAGGAGGAGGAGGAGGAGAGGAGGAGGAGGAGGAGGGAGGAGGAGGAGGAGGAAGGAGGAGAGGAGGAGGAGGACGGAGGAGGAGGAGGAGGAGGAGGATGAGGGAGGAGGAGGAGGAGGAGGAGGAGGAGAAGGAGGAGGAGGCGGAGGAGGAGGAGGAGGAGGAGGAGGAGGAGGAGGGAGGAGGAGGAGGAGGACGGGTCGCCTGAGCCGTTCGGAGAAACCCTCCAGTCGGGGGGGGGGAGGGGAAGGAGGGAGGGAGGGAGGAGGGGGAAGAGGAGGCCCCTCGCGGGCGGGGATCCGAAGGTGGGCGGGCGCTGCAAAGGTCTGCCGCTGCCCAGCTGGGCGGGGCAAGCGCGGGCGGGACGGGCGCGGGCAGCGAGGGCTCGCCACGGAAGGACTCCCAGGCGTCTGGCGGTTCGATCCGAAGGGTCCTAGGCATCCGGCGGCTCGAAGAGACAAGGCAGCAAGCCGCTCGCCATGCTGGTCAAGCACGGGGGCTTCTGGAAACGGGTCAGGCATGAAGGCCAGCCCTGGGGGCAGGGGAGCAAAAGAGCCCCGCCCCCACCCCCCCACCTGGCCCTCCGCCCCAGAGAGAGGGGGGGGGAAGGCGGGGGGAGGGGGGATCTGTGTTTCTGTGCCACTTTTTGCGAAACATCCTCACGATCAGGTGTCGGAGGGAGGGGGCAAGCAAGGGGGTGGGGCGGACGCCGTCTGCGTGTCGCTTTCGCGAAACCTCATCACGATCAGGTGTGGAGACTCTCTGGCGCAGCCGCAGATGGGGGAGGGGGGCGAGGATAGAGAGACAAAATCTGCACAAACATAAACTTTGGGAGATCCGCGCGGATTTCTTGGATCCGCGCTGGATCCCCCTCCCTGGCGCGCGGCGCCGCCAGGTGGGCCCAACGCGGATCCAAGAAATCCGCGCGGGGCTCCCAAAGTTTATGTTTATGCCGCTTGTTGTTCCCCGATCTCTGGCGCAGCCCCAGAGGGGGCATTGGGTGGGGGGCGAGGTTTGGGTGGAGGCGCGCTTCTTTCCCCTAGAGAAGGAGGAGGAGGAGGAGCAAGGAGGAGGAGGAGGAGGAGGAGGAGGAGTGAGTGAGGAGTGAGGAGTGAGGAGTGAGGAGTGAGGAGTGAGGAGGAGGAGAGAGGAGGGAGGAGGAGGAGGAGAGGAGGAGGAGGAGGAGGAAGAGGAGGAGGAGGAGGAGGGGGAGGAGGAGAGGAGGAGGAGGAGGAGGAGGAGGAGGAGGAGGAGGGGAGAGGAGTGAGGAGAGAGGAGTGAGGGGTAAGGAGTAAGGAGTGAGGAGTGAGGAGTGAGGAGTGAGGAGTGAGGAGTGAGGAGGAGGAGAAGGAGGAGGAGGAGGAGGAGGAGCAGGAGGATGAGGAGGAGGAGTAGGAGGAGGAGGAGGAGTGAGGATAGAGGAGTGAGGAGTGAGGAGTGAGGAGTGAGGAGTGAGGAGTGAGGAGTGAGGAGTGATGAGTGAGGAGGAGAATTACAATGGACAAAAGAGCGCATCGAGCACATGGTATTGCGCAGGCAATACTACCAACGACTCGGATTACTGGGAGTAGAACCGCCGCCAACACACGCACCATTATCTACGACTGAACTCGGATACGCATGCCCGCAATTCCGACAAACGCTAGCAACAAAAGGCACATGGCCAAGTACCACCCAGAGCCGAACCACGTGCGAAACTACACGCAAGGCGGACTGTACAGAGCTTGTGGGACGAACTACCACAAACGACCGCGCCTTGACGCGTAGGAAGCGTAAGTGTGCGTACTTGATCAGGCATTACCTGGAACCACTCCCACTCACCCAAATACAATGATTGGACGGCCTATACAGAATGGAGCCGGCCATCGAAGGGAAGGTTACTACGAGGCCAAGGCCAACATTCCAACCGTCAGAATGCCCAAGACTGAACCCATGATAATGCCAGGTGATTATTGGATCGAAGTCGCTACCACCCGAGCCAAAATCAGCACAAGTAGAAGAAACTATGGTGCACCTTGCCGACATCCGCACCAGCATCCCGCAGCGGAAGGTATACTACTACTTCCACTTCTTATCAGAACTCCGCATAGAACTCGACCTACAACACTGCATCGAGAGCGACGAGAAGACCCAGTGAAAATCATCGCAATCGACCTAGCCAACGACCCGTGCTGGGGCAACCTACTACGGCCTTAAGCCAAGGCATCCTGGTTCGCCCTCATGAGAACAATACTGGTAATAGGTATATGTGTCAGGACCGCCATGCGAAAACTTGGAGTGGCGCCCGGTAAAACTCTCTACAACATCGACAAGATGCTGGACCACGACGATTACGAGACAAAGACGGATCCTGCGGATACAAACTTCTCAACGGTAGAGAAAGGGTGCAAGAACAAAGGGGGAATGTATTACTTCGAATCACCTTGGAATTCCGACTGCAGGCTTTACTACTGCACATTCCCGCTACCATGAAACATCCCGCAACCCCTACCTGGCGAGCAAGATGCGCGTCAACATGAAGGCGGCTGGAGACCAAGGCACTTCTTCCTACATGCAACAGCACCAACACAATCAGTTTCGACCAATGCATGTTTGACAACCGCAGCAGGAAACATACGACGCTGCTGTGCGTTCACCTACCGCGTGCCACCACGTTACTGAGCCAAGCCGAACATTGGGGACGTTGCAATCATCGCGGAGGCCACCTCACCGCACTGGACTGCGACCGCACCGATGGCAACTTCAGAACAGCGCCGCTTAAGGAATACCCGCCTGAGCTGTGCGAGTGCATATGTAGTTTTTTTCACGGACGCACGGGGAGGAATGCTACAGCCAAGCGCGGTCCCAGTGCGCGTACCCGAACAGTTCGACAGGTTCCACGCGCGCCCAGTTCAACAGCGCAGTACGCAGCCCGACGCTGCAGGACACAGTGCCTAACAGAAGAATGAGGAGCGACCTGCTCTGGAGATATAGGATATCAAAGACGAGCCCGACACACCCACGGAAGTACCTGATGATAGACCACAACAACAAGTAGAGGATACGCCCAGGATCTTGACACCAGACTGCCCCACGCCAGCGTTGACCAGTTAATACACCTATTTGCGAACACCGTCGATATGCAGAGAACTGCCGCGGCCTGGCACGCCATATAGGTTACTATGCGAGGGGCCCTACAGACAGCGCTGGAGTACCGCCCGAACTGTGAAACATCCGCCCTACCCAACCCGTCTTCGAAGCTACGATTACAACGGGACCACCACGGGACACGTACGTGAGTTGTGCTGAAGGGGGCCGTTTGCCTACCATTAGGTGGGGCATATTCCCCTACAGGCTGATTGTGGACGGAAAAAATACCCCAAAAATATGCACCAATGGTCAAAAAAAAACATATGACGTCCCCAGAACTATTGCCGTACTAGTTTTGAATACTCCTCCGGTAGAGGGACACGCCCGACTCAAAGCCTGCCGCGGCGCGAAGCTCCACGACAGCCCCAGGCCCGGCGAGAGGAGACGCACGACTTCTCGTCCGCCCGCGGGGCGGGCGAGGAGGCGAGCACGTAGAAAAGAGGGCGCCCGGAAGGAGACAGGCGCCACCTTGTGGAACGCACAGGAGTAAATGTATGGAACACAAAGAAACACGAAGTACAAGTGGGGGGACCCGTGCTATGAGTGACTGCCTACCAGATCACCCCAACCCAACCCGAAGACCCGAATTTCGGATTGGGGGGGTTCAAGGTTCCATGCGTGTTTTCCGAATGTTTCCCGACCCCCCCCCCCCACTGGAAATGGAGGGCAAATTGACGCCTTCGGGTTGGGTTGGGGCGGTTTGGTGGGTGGTGAATAAGAGAGCACGACGGGGCGCGCGGGAGGCGGCGGATATTGGGGCGGCGCCGGAGGCGCCGCCAGGGTGCCCCAGCGCCGATCCGAGAAATCCGCGCGGACCTCCGAGTTTTTTCCCCAATCAGTGCTTGCACTGAAGGGTCCTAGCGGAAATCGAAAGATTTGACGAAAGATTCCCGCCGATTTTGGTGGCCGGCTGGGTTCCCTGGTTCCCAAGCCGGGTTCCCAGGTTCCTGGTTATTGGTTCCGGGCCGATGTCGGTGGGTTCCGGGTTCATGGGTTACAGGTCGATCTCCTTATCGATCAAAACATCCACTGATTGGGGTTTTTCTCTAGTGTAATGGAATACAGAGAGACACGAAGTACAAGTAGGGGGCCTCGTGCAATGCTATAGGAGAACACCGTCTCGTTCCATGTACGGGGGCCAGGGCGCGCCCGTCGCCTGCGCGCCAGGTGGCTCAAGGGCCCTCGTGAGCCACAACGGCGGCACACAAGGGAGGTGGGACGGAGGCGAAGGAGGAGGAGAGGCTGAAATACGCATGACAACCACACGCGTACAACCTCGTCAAGTTCATGGTAAATAGCCCGTGAGAAGAAAGACGACGCGAATCCGAAGAACGAGCTCGAGGGCAAGGACATCAGGCACGACGACACCGTGTACTTCGAGGGCATCTTCGCCAAGCGCAAGAAGGACTACGCCGACGACGACGTGCGGAGCGGCCATAAGACCCGCAAGACCAGCATGGACTAGGATTTGTTCCATGAGTTCGACGCAGGGATGATGAAATGTGCCAGCTCTCCCACTGAAGGACAGTGGGCACCTCCATGCGAAGCAACAGCCATGGAAAAAAGGGATGAGAAATAGAGGAGGGGGAGGAGGAAGAGCAGCAGACTCCCAGAGGGAAAAACTCGCGATTGGACCACCCACGCGCGCCCTTAAGCGCACGACCGCGGTATGCGAGAAACCCCTCGGAACCACTCCGAGGCCCTGGCCAAAATGGTTCTGCAATGCGGTACAAGCTCGAGACACCCCGCCAGGCCCGAGAGGGGCGCGAAGGGCGAGAGGGGCGCGAGAATAGGTCTACCGTTTTACGGCGCGGCATCGTACCAGCGGTACGCTTCCAGGCCGCCTCTACGTACGCTACTCCAAGCTGTACATAGTACGTTCTCGCCGCGTAGTGCACCTTCCTGCTCCCTGACCCGAGCAACAAATACGTCCAACCGAGCGCCGTCCTCCTATTTGTTACCCTTATTTGGCGTACTACGTACAGTATACGCATTACTCGGACCTGGCCAAGTGCACATGTCCCGAGACACCACAGGACAACCGCGAGGACGCCAGTTATACAACACGTTCTATCGGCGATACTTTCACTAGCCCGCCCAACAACAACATTACTGACCTACTCCGTGATAGCCAGCCTAAGCAGATGATACCGGAGAGAAACCCAATCAGAATATGTTTTGGGGCTATGGGGCTATAGTGCTATAGGGCTATGGGGCTATGGGGCTATAGGGCTAGAGGGCTAGAGGACTATAGGGTTATTGGGCTGTTGGGCTATAGGGCTAGGGCTATAGGGCAATAGGGCTATAGGGTTATTGAGCTGTAGGGTTACTGGGCTCGAAGGCTATAGGACTATAGGACTATAGGGCGAGAGGGCTAGAGGGATAGAGGGCTAGAGGGCTAGAGGGATAGAGGGATAGAGGGCTAGAGGGCTAGAGGGCTATAGGGCTAAAGGGCTATAGGGCTATAGGGCTATAGGGCTGTACTGGCTCGAGGTACTGGCTACAGCCTGCACGCCTGCTACCGCCAGCCGACATGTTCACCGTGAACGACCAAGAGCCGAACGTCGAGGCCAGTGGAAAACAGAAGGTACTGGCGGAAGCAGAGGTATGGCTACGAGATCTGCTATACCAGAACAAGTGGATACAGGTCGTCACCAAGGTGACCCACGGAGAAGACGGGAAGGCATACTTGAGAATTGCCGACGTCAAGGCCGCGCTACGCCACTGCTTCACGGACCTGCACGACAAGCGCATTGATATCTACCAGGCCAAATGCGCCGAAGGCACGGGTGAGGTTACCATCAACGACCGAGCTGAAGGACCCCGCAATGGCCTGGAGCCACCTTCACCACTTCGAGACGAATACTGGCAGGCATGTCGGAACTACATGATTGCAGAATCGCACCCCTGGGAATACGCGGTACGCTTCTCCTACTACATGCCATGAGACCCCACAAGGACGACAACGTTACCTAGGATATTTCTACAGGCGCGCCCACCAGCGGCATCTTCAAGAGGCCATCGCCGCCAGGCTACACGGACAGCAGTTCGATCTGCCCCCAGAGCAATACACACATATCAAAATATACTACATGGACCACGACAACGACGAGCTGCCAAACGAACAAAACTACATTACCAATCTACTCTCACGATGGGCCCGACATATTTCATCAACCTGCTGGACCAGGACGGCAACCCGATTACGCACGACTGCTACGACACCGTTGGCCTACCCCCCCCCCCCCCTCACTGGGCCCTACAATAAGCGCGCGCCTCCACAATTGCCGTACGGCCAGATCAAACCAGCGCGTGGGGAGCCTACCGAGAGGGAAAACTAGGCCTTGGTGGATACAACGGTACCTCACTCCATGTTTTCCGAAATACCGATCGTTTACGATACTGCTACATGAACCGTTAGGCTGGTACACCGATACCGCTGATACGTACAAGTGCTGAACCACACCGCTGCAAAGATACGACTCTTTACAACGCCTCCAGCGTCACAGACAAGGTGCCCCGAGCACACCGCTACCCGCAAGATGCTGATTCCCAGGTAGGTGCAACTACACTTAGGTCGGGCGTGTCCCCATACTGGCGGATTCTGGGCAAAACATTAAAAATACCCAAAAGATGCTCAAACATAGCCAAAATGGTAGAAAAATCGTCCCCGTACGATTTCCTGAATATGTTTGAATATTCCTCCTGTAGAGGGACACGCCCGACTTAAAACGACATCGGTTGAGTGGCACAGCCGATCACCCGCCTCCCTTTTCTTTCTGGACCCTCGAGCGATTACCTCACCAGACACCCGACGTCGTGACTTGTTCGCAACGCCGCCCCCCAGAGATATAGCTCCCCTCACCGGGACAGGTTTCTCGTCCTGAGTCGGTGTTTGACGGTCGCGGGGCCCAGCGAAGGCCCCCAGAGGCCGAAAGCAGCGAAAAACCTTCGAGGTGTTACTTATAAGGATTGGAGGAGGAGGAGGCGGAGGAGGAGTAAGGAGCAGGAGGAGCAGGAGGAGGAGCAGGAGCAGGAGAAGGAGTGAGGAGGAGGGTGTGGGCCGGGGCGCCCACGCCTCGCAGCAAAAGATGAGCTGGGCAGCCGGGTGCCCGGAGGGAGGAGGGAAGCCCATATAGCGCAGTAGAAGGGAGAAAGGAAAAGAAGAAGAAGAAGAAGAAGGAGGAGGATGAGGAGGAGGAGGAGAGAGGGAGGAGGAGGAGAGGGAGGAGGAGGAGGAGGAGGAGGAGGAGGAAGGGAGGAGGGAGGAGGAAGGGAGGAGGGAGGAGGGAGGAGGGAGGAGGGAGGGGGGAGGAGAGAAGGAAACCTGACAGTGCAATCTGTGTATCGGCCCCAACGCCATGTGGTAACGGACCGTGTGGCGACCTCGGAGTCCCAACGACTTCACCGCGCGGTCTGGCACCCCACGGTTTTGAGGGCCCTGGAGGCCCCCGTCGCCCGAGACGCCTTCAGAGAACGGCATGGCTCCCAAAACCGCGCGGCGACCCCGAACCCCCACCGACTCACCACACGGTCTGGTCATCACAGCGCTTGGGCCCTGAGGGACGGGGTCCTAAGGACGAGGCGCCTCAAACAGTGCAAATCCACCCTTGCGTCCCGTTCTATCCTTGCGAGGGCCCCACCCCTCGGGACCCCATCTTTGAGCCAACGATCGGGGGGCCCCCGAGAGGAGGTCAGAGGTTGCGGAGAGGCCACCAGAGGGGCAGGCCCCGGGGCCGAGGAGGGGGTGGCCACCCGCCCCGTCCCCCTCGCCGCGCAGTGGCGAGCAGGCGCCTTGGCGGTCAGCTCAAGCGCCTCCTGCAGTGCCAAGCCCTCCTGGCCGCCGGCAGGGAAGGGGGAAGGGTAGCAGGAGGAGGAGGAGGAGGAGGACCAATATAAACCCAAGACTCATCAAAAATGTTGGAACACACCCTCTCTCCAAACTCCCTCTTCATAAGCCCCTACAAAAGCTCATGCCCCGGTGGGGACAACCGTGTGAAAATCCCGAAGCGTGCCAAAACACCACTCTCGGGACTTCCTGAATCGTGCCAGAACACCGTACGTGGGACTTCAACTCCGCAAATCAACATAACGATTGCGCCCTGACATTCCCGAATCGCTCCAAAGCACCACTTCTGATACGTTAACCATGTGAATCAAGTGAGCTTTTTCTTATTCAGCGTTTCGACATTGGGCGGAAGGGGGGGGGAGGAGGAGGGGTCTGCCTCTAAACCTCTACTTAATGTAACTGTTTGCAACAGTACGTCCTATGGGGGAGACGCCACCTGCCAGAAAAAAAAAAGCGCCAAAAAACCGCCAAGGTCTACTCCATAGGGGGGGATGAGGGAGGTGGGCGGGTCCGCGCCGATCGACAAAACATTGAATGAGAAAACGAACACCAATGAACCTCTTGGAAATGGTTGCAACGAATGTACTCGGCGCTAACGCGATAACCACATGTTGAAAAAGAACCACCCCCAATCCGCGAAACCCTTGCAACTGTTTGAAACGAGTAGGCGAGGCGCAAACGCGAGAGCCACATTTGGAAAACGACCCGCCCTCAATCCGTGAAGCTCTTGCGATTTGTTCAAAACGAATGTACGCAGCGCTAAGACGATAGCCATACATTGAAAATCACCCGCCCTCCATGTGTGAAACTGTTGCCAACGTTTAAGCCTCAGGATCATAGACGGTGTCTCAAGCGAAACGACCGGCCCATCTATAAGGAAAAGGCATTGAGGAGAAGGAGGAGGAGTAAGAGGAGAAAGAGGAGGAGGAGGAAGAGGAGGAGCAGGGGCAGGAGGAGGAGGAGGAGGGGGAGGAGGGCAAGCTAGGTGCGCTCGCGTCATATCTGACATCCTACCCCTCCCTCCCATCCTTTACCATGGCGTAGATCCCCTCTCTACTCGCACAGTCGGATGTCGAGCAGGGCAATGATCCCGAAAGGGTACGCGATGCATTGTAGAGCACGGCATGGCATGCCGTAGAAGAGCACCGCAAAGCGTAGTATGTCACAGCATGGCGTGGCGTGGCGTAGTGAAGAATTGCATCACAAAGCTTTGCAACGCAAAGCATGGCATCGCACAGCGGCCCCGAACATAACATTGCATAGCATGGCGTTGAAGATCAAAGCGTAGCATGGCATAGCACGACGTGGCACTGAAGCACTGCATATCACAGCTTCAGCTGAAGGCATGGCATCGCGCAGCGGAACGCAACCTAGCATTGCATTGCATGCCGTGGCATGGCACGGGAAATGACGCCAGCGCTGCAGCGGGAGCACGATTCGGAACGAGCGGAAGCGCGGAAATGAGGCCAGCGCTGCAGCGGGAGCACGATTCGGAACGAGCGGAAGCACGGAAATGAGGCCAGCGCTGCAGCGGGAGCACGATTCGGAACGAGCGGGGCCCGAAAATGAGGCCGGCGCCTCAGCGAGAGCAGCATTTTGAAAAAAATGCAGGCGAAAACCCAACTCCGGGGAATCTTGTGTGTAAAAAACAATACGCGGGGGGGGGGCGAACACTCCCAACCCGTCATCAGGGGAAGGAGGAGAGTAGTATTCATATTGAGTAATTGTGGAGGGAGCAGGGGGGAGGATGAGGAGGATGGGGAGGAGGAGGAGGAGGAGGAGGAGGAGGAGGAAGAGGAGGATGGAGAGAGGATGAGGGGAGGAGGAGGAGGATCAGGATGAGGAGGAGGAGGAGGATCAGGAGGAGGGGGAGGAGGGGGGAGAAGGAGGAGGTGGAGGGGGAGGAAGAGGAGGAGGAGGAGGAGGAGGAGGAGGAGGAGGGGCGGGGGAGGGGCAGGGTGCAAGGAGGGGGAGGGGAGGGAGGAGGAAGAGGCGAGGAGGGGAAATCGGTGGAGGGAGGGGGCTGGGACTGGCACCGGGTGGGGGCGCCTCGGCCTCCTCGGGCCGCGGCACTGCACCGCTGGGCTCCGCACTCCCCGGGGGGGCCTCGGCCAGGGGTTCACTCCATGGGACGCCACGACCGCTCGGGCCCACGAGCGGGGCCCGCGGCGGGAGTGCGTCGGTCCTGTTGTCAGCGGCGCGCCGCAGGGGGCGGGGGCGAGTAGGGCAGCCTCTAATAGAGGGCAGGAAATCCAGCCCCAGAATGACCACAACGACACGCGAAGGAATCGAACAGGGCAAGGCTGTTCAGTAAACGCCCAAGGCCGTTTAGTAAACGCCAATTGTCGGGTCCGGGTGGTTGGTCATCCCTTGATCTAAGGAGGCGGGAGGTGTCTGAGGAGGGCTCGCGTGCTTCCGATGGCGGCTTCTCAAAACAGAAGGCGGGAAGGGCTTCTGGAAAAGCCCGCGGCCTTCTCAGACGGCCGTCCCCACGCGCCACCCCAGCCTGCGCGCCGCCGACGTCTGGGACCCCGCTGTCCTGCTCGGCGACCCCACCGAGCTGTCAAGCAGGGGCCAACTCTTTCAATCAAGATTTTGCGTGGCGACGCTGGGAGGCGAGCCCGGCTGCTGTGGCGCGCGCCCGAGGCGCCGCCAACCCTTTGGGCAGGGTCCGCCCTTGCTGGGCAAAAGCTGCCGTGCAAGATTGCCATGACGCGGCATCCAGCAGAAGAAGGTCTGCGCAAAAAAAAATCTGACGATCGTCGTCGTACCCGTCGCCGTCTTCGTCCTCTACATCTTCTGCAAGTGGCGAAAACCGCTCCACGCCAGTCGACAGCCTTCAGTACAAAGCCTTGGGCCCAATTATGCCAGAGAAATCCCGTCGATGACACGGTGGATGGCGCGGGGTCTGTGTCACCGATGACGTCGGTCGCGATCGTGTTTGCAACGGGGTAGGCATGCGCCAGAGAAAATGTGAGAATGCTCCTGCGAATTCAACCTGGCGCGACCCTAAGTAGGAGTTCCTCCTGATTGAACATGGTATGGCCATGAGGCTGCAGACAAGCTGTAGCGCTGAATCTATGACCACACCAGGCCCCCAGAGGGGGAGGGTGCCTTACGAGGCCCCCTGGGGACTCTGGAGACCAGCCCGGTCTTCGAGGAACAAACAATGGCATAAACATTAAAACTCAAAGGTTCGCGCGGACTTCGTGGATCGGCGCTGGACCCCCCTCCCAGGCGCGCGGAGCGCGCCAGGGACGGCGCCCGAGGCGCCGCCGTGGGGCTCCAGCGCCGATCCACGAAATCCGCGCAGACCTCCGAGTCCTACGTCCATGTCATTGTTTGTTCCCCGAGGTCTGACCGTCGCGCAGGCTGCCAGCAGCCTCAGCAGCGCGCCTCCACCACCGCCCTACTTCCCCCAAACGGCCGCGTGGCGGCAGCCTTCAGTCTGGCCCCGCCGAATGGTCCCGCCGCGGGGGCGGCATGCTCCTTCCAGTCCTGCCTCATGATCTGTTGTGCGGTGTTGTTGTTGATGCCGATGGCGTAGGCCTTCGACACCGAAGGCAGCGACGACGCCGTCGTCGACGACGGCAGCGACGACAACAGCGCCGGTGACGAAGACGACGCCAAGGAAGACGACAGGATGGGCCACGAGGAGCCAGAAGAGGAAGAGGAGGAAGGATAGAAGGAGCTGAAGAAGGGCAAGTTCTCTGCAGGAGCCGTCCGAGAGGAGCGTACAATAAGCGATGGGATGGCAGGAGCAAGCCACCACCACCATTCCCCATCACAGTCACGGGGGCCTGACGGTAAGAGCCTGATGGGGGCAGGCACACGCAATGGCATTACGCATTGCCTGCGCACATGCCGGCTGGGGAAGGAGAGTGGACATAGCGTGCAGAAACATCACAGGCCAACCTGCCTGATGATGGTACTGGTGCTGCCCTCGCTGTCAGCGCGCAGGCACGCTGGGGGGAAATCCTACGGCGTCGCGTCGCGTCGCCAGGGGTTATACAGCCCCTTCAGGCCGCAGCGTGGTTTCTCGTCAAAAACTTCTCACGGGCCACACGGGCCACGGGCAAGCGGTGCACCAGTCGGTGGGTGTCAATGACATCGTGCAGCCGCAGAGTAGCACGCAGCAAAGGAATCGCTGTGCGTCACAAAGAGTAACAAATATTCCTGGGCTGAGTATTGCAATTAAGTGCCCGGCCGAACTGTCCGACCAGGTGGGCACAGCCCGTGCGCCCCATGAGTTAAGTGCAGACGCGCGAAGCGGACAAAGCCGCCCAGAAACGAGTCGGCGTCAGCAACTGGATCGCACTCTGCCAGGGCCAGCGTCAGGTAGGCATCGACATCGTTGTCGCCATCATCACTACCATCATCAGAGTCTGGTGTGCAGCCGAGAGCATTGGTGCCCTCATCGTCACCTCATGTTTGGCCAACGCGGGTAGCGTGGCACTGCCGTTGCGCAATCTGCAAGGCGGCATCAACTCCCATGCTGACTCTGATTCTGGGAACCCACGGATCACTTCGAACACTGCGTTGCAACCTCGTGGGAGTGCCGCGCTGCGCTCCACTGGAAGCCATCCAACTCTTCACCCATGGTGTCATATCCAAATATAAACCTCCGAGCCACAGATGAAACTCAGCTAAACACGCCCGGCCAGACTCAAAACCACGTTCGCAGTGTGATGAGTGACGCTGAGCAACGATCCACTGAATTGCCCAAGATGCTCGCGGGAACTAATTTCAAATCGGCTGCGAAACTTGGCATGACCACCAGATCACGAAGCTCACTACGAAGAACAGATTTGTGTATAGAGCCGAGGATCGCCGATACAGAAGGGCCTGGCAAAACTACGACGATCGTGCATATGGTCAAAAGCGCTGGCAGCAGGTTTCTGGCCTAGAAAGCACATGCGGAAGAGAGGAAGACAAGATAAAGGGTGAGATAGAGAGAGAGAGAAAGATAACAACACGAGAGAGAGGTAAACAAAGAGAGAGAGAGAGAGTTGGAGATAGAGAGTGCATATGTTCCCACACCCAAAGCGGCGTTCTTGTATTATCTGACCACACACACACCGCAAGATCTCCTCCTCCTAGCCCCATCTAAAGATCTACCCCGCATTCACACACTCACGCACTCATGCACACACACACACACACTCAAAGATTGAGCATCAGCACTACCATCATCCACGCTCACTCACTAACTCACCCACTCGATCACCCACTCGATCACCCACCACATCCTAAGTAGGGTGCTTGTTTTCTCTGGACACCCCGCGCAGGAGCCAACAACAAAGGAACACACACACACACACACACACTGAGCAAATCGCGAGGACGTCTCAGGCGGGAGCCCCCTATGGGGCGCGCAGCTCACGTTGGTAACCCGAAAGGGTCGTGGGCGTACTGTAGCGGGCAACGCACTCGAGGGGGTAAAATCCTGGGGAAGTCTCGAGCGAGAGCCTCGTCTGTGAACGAATTGCGAGGACGTCTCGAGCGAAGGCCCTCCCCAGATGGGGTCCCCGCCTCATGTTCGCAATCAGAGCGGGCCATGGGCGTAGTGTAGCAGGCAAAATACTTGAGCACCCCAGGGGGGCGGAGGGGGAAGGCAAATCGTGGAGACGTCTCGAGCGGGAGCCTCGTTTGTGAGTGAATCGCGAGGATGTCTCGATCGGGAGCCATCCCCCTATGGGGTCCCCACCTCACGTTGGCAATCCGAGCGAGCCATCGGCGTAGTGTAGCAGGCATAAAACTTGAGCATCCGAAGAGGCACATCGTGGGGACGTCCCGAGCGGAAGCCTCGTTTGTCAATGAATCGCGAGAGAGTCTAAAACGGGAGCCCCCTCCCTGTTGGGGTCCCCACCTCATGTTGGCAACCCGAGCGGGCCATGGGCGTGCTGTAGCCGGCAAAACACTTGAGCACCCCAAGGGATCAAATCGTGGGGACGTCTCGAGCGGGAGCCTCGCCAATGAGTGAATCGCGAAGATGTCTCGAGCGGGAGCCACCTCTCTATGGGGTCCCCGCCTCCCCTATGGAGTCCCCATCCTCATGTTGACAATCCGAGCTCCGATCGGGTCACGGGCGCACTGTACTAAGCATACCAGTTGATGTCTCGGGCGGGTGCCTCGTCTGTGAGTGAATTGCGAGGACGTCTCGAGCGGAAGCCCTCCCCATATGGGGTCCCCGCCTCATGTTGGCAATCCAGGCGGGTCATGGGCGTAGTGTAGCAGGCGAAACACTTGAGCACCCCAAGGCAAGGGGGGGGGGGGGGGGGGCAAATCGTGGAGACGTCTCGAGCGGGAGCCTCGTTGGTTAGTGAATCGCGGGGACGTCTGTGAGTGAACTGCGAAGAAGTCTCAGGCGGGAGCCCCCGTCCCTATGGGGCCCGCAGCTCATGTTGGTAATCCCACCAGCCCTCTGTGCGTAGGTGGTCTAGGGAGCTTCCTCTTCCGACCCCCTTTCTTCCCCTTCGGGGAAGGGTTCATCACTGTTCCTTATTTTGAGGGAGTTTCTGTGGAACTACCGTCATCCTCACCCCCGACGCGGGGAGCAGAGGAGCCCAGAGCGGCCTCAGGCACCGTTTCCGGACAGATCCGCTGGATCCGCCGACGAATCCCAAACCGGCGCCCTCGCTTGAGACATCCTAACAAAACAGGCCCCGGGGGAGGTGCCCAGAGGAGCCCAGAGCGGCCTCCGGCACCGTTTCCGGACAGATCCGCTGGATCCGGTGGATCCGCCGACGAATCCCAAACCAGCGCCCTCGCTTGAGACATCCTCACAAAACAGGCCCCGGGGGAGGTGCCCAGAGGAGCCCAGAGCGGCCTCCGGCACCGTTTCGGGACAGATCCGGTGGATCCGGTGACGAATCCCAAACCGGCGCCCTCGCTTGAGACATCCTCACAAAACCGGCCCCGGGGGAGGTGCCCAGAGGAGCCCAGAGCGGCCTCCGGCACCGTTTCCGGACAGATCCGCTGGAACCGCCGACGAATCCCAAACCGGCGCCCTCGCTTGAGACATCCTCACAAAACCGGCCCCGGGGGAGGTGCCCAGAGGAGCCCAGAGCGGCCTCTGGCACGGTTTCCGGACAGATCCGCTGGATCCGGTGGATCCGCCGACGAATCCCAAACCGGCGCCCTCGCTTGAGACATCCTCACAAAACCGGCCCCGGGGGATGTGCCCAGAGGAGCCCAGAGCGGCCTCCGGCACCGTTTCCGGACAGATCCGGTGGATCCGGTGACGAATCCCAAACCGGCGCCCTCGCTTGAGACTTCCTCACAAAACCGGCCCGGGGGGAGGTGCCCAGAGGAGCCCAGAGCGGCCTCCGGCACCGTTTCCGGACAGATCCGGTGGATCCGGTGACGAATCCCAAACCGGCGCCCTCGCTTGAGACATCCTCAAAAAACCGGCCCCGGGGGAGGTGCCCAGAGGAGCCCAGAGCGGCCTCCGGCACCGTTTCCGGACAGATCCGGTGGATCCGGTGGATCCGGTGGATCCGCCGACGAATCCCAAACGGGCGCCCTCGCTTGAGACATCCTCACAAAACCGGCCCCGGGGGAGGTGCCCAGAGGAGCCCAGAGCGGCCTCCGGCACCGTTTCCGGACAGATCCGGTGGATCCGGTGACGAATCCCAAACCGGCGCCCTCGCTTGAGACATCCTCACAAAACCGGCCCCGGGGAAGGTGCCCAGAGGAGCCCAGAGCGGCCTCCGGCACCGTTTCCGGACAGATCCGGTGGATCCGGTGACGAATCCCAAACCGGCGCCCTCGCTTGAGACATCCTCACACAACCGGCCCCGGGGGAGGTGCCCAGAGGAGCCCAGAGCGGCCTCCGGCACCGTTTCCGGACAGATCCGCTGGATCCGGTGGGTCCGCCGACGAATCCCAAACCGGCGCCCCGGGGAAGGTCCCATGGAGCCCAGAGTTGCCTCCGGCACCGTGTCCGACAGATCCGCTGGATCCGGTGGATCCGCCGACAATCCAAACGGAGCGCCTCGCTTGAGACATCCTCACAAAAAACGGCCCCCGGGTGAGGTGCCCAGAAGAGCCCACTTGGAGGAGAGATGGGTTTGTTAAGAGATGTTACTTCTAGCATCGTTGAGGCTGGTTGTTTGGAGTTGGCAGACGTTTGCAAGCGGTTACCGCAACCCGCAGCAAGTCCCTAAACACTATCTTCTTTAGGGTGTTCCAGACGGTTGGCAAGTGGTTTAGGAAGGAGTTAGCAAGACGCTTAGCTAAACCCCTGCGCCCCGATAAGCAGTTAGTAACCCTCTAG